AGATGGCATCATGAGGAAGGAAATTTATGTGGATATATTGAAGCAACATCTCAAGACATCAGTCAGGAAGTTAAAGCTTGGTCGCAAATAGGTCTTCCAAATGGACAATGACCCCAAGCATACTTCCAAAGTTGTGGCAAAATGGACAACAAAGTAAATGGATTGGAGTGGCCATCACAAAGCCATGACCTCAATCCTATAGAAAATGTGTGGGCAGAACTGAAAAAGCATGTGCGCGCAAGGAGGCCTACAAACCTGACTCAGTTACACCAGCTCTGTCAGGAGGAATGGGCCAAAATTCACCCAACTTATTGTGGGAAGCTTGTGGAAGGCTACCCGAAATGTTTGACCCAAGTAAACAATTTAAAGGCAATGCTGCCAAATACTAATTGAGTGTATGTAAACTTCTGACCCACTTGGAATGTGATGAAAGAAATAAAAGCTGAAATAAATAATTCTCTCTACTATTATTCTGACATTTCACATTCTTAAAATAAAGTGGTGATCCTAACTGACCTGAGACAGGGAATTTTTAGTAGGATTAAATGTCCGGAATTGTGAAAAACTGAGTTTAAATGAATTTGGCTAAGGTGTATGTAAACTTCCGACTTCAACTGTATATGTATATACCCTACCGGTCAAAAGTTTTAGAACACCTACTCATTCAAGGGTTTTTCTTTATTTTTACTATTTTCTACATTGTAGAAAAATAGTGAAGACATCAAAACTATGAAATAACACATATGGAATCATTTAGAAACCAAATAAGTGTGAAACAAATTCTTCAAATAGCCACCCTTTACCTTTTTCAATGTAATTGTCTGCATCACTTCCAATCCCCCATATGTAATTTTTTTCTCACAAATATATATATACACATACATACAAATAAATACATATACATACATATATAGACATATCCTTTAAAAAAATATATTTCCCTTTATTACTTTCCAACCCCACCAACCCTTCCCTAATTGGAGTAAACTAGTGAACAACAATGTTTAGGCCTCTACTTCCATGTTGTTTGTTTTTACTCCTGAACTGCCTCTACCATCAACATCTCCGATCATTTCGGTTTGCTTCTATATGCCATATCTTTCTAACTGTGCTCTTTCACGAAAGCTCTCAACCTATAACCTATATACTTATTATGGACACAGTATGCTTTACATTAGTTATCTTGTTGTTATTAGTTGTTGTTAGTTGTTATTAGTCCCATCCTTCAACTCCATTCAAGACCACCCATCAATCTCTTAACACCATCCATATTGGATTTCTATTTGTCATATATTTTTCAACTGTAGTGCGATGTTTTACACAAGTTCTGAACCCTTCTATTCTCAATGTTTCTACAGATTGTAAATTGAAAATAAACATTTTTGCTAAAAATATTATTAGATTATTGATCGATTTACAATGACTTTTCAGATCACCCAGTAGTGCTATCTGCAGGGTTAGCTCCAGGTAAATATTGCAATCCTTTAGCTATTCCTGGACCTGTGTCCAAAAACAAGCTACAAATGGACAGTACCAAAACAAATGATCTAATGATTCTGTCTCTTCGCAGCAAAATCTGCAGAGCTGGGAAGATTGTATCCCCCATATAAATAACATTCTATTGGTAGCAAGAATTTTGTATAATTTCAATTGAAAAGTTCTAAGTTTTGAATCCGACATCGTTTTGCGTATCAGTTCATAAACACTATGCCATGGAATCGGTACGTCCAAAATCTCTTCCCAACTATTTTGCAATCTATATGGGACGGCTGTCAATCCTTTGGTCCTTAAATAAAACTGGTATACTTTTTTATTTATGACAATTTTCTTTAACCAATTATGTTCTTTAATGCAGGGCCGACAGACAAGTTCCTTACTTTATCCCCCTTCCACTTTCCATTTTTGTGGTAATGCTGCAATTATTTGGTTGTAATTTTGGGTAGAGCAGACATTTCCATATATTTTGTTAGCTGCATGTGCGACATAACTCCACCAGTCCTACCTATGATATAATTTAAGAAGATCATACCTTTTTAAAACATTTTTTCAAAAAATAATAGTTTTTTTTAATCAATTTGTATATTTGAGTTTAACCACAATATTTGTTGCATTATTTGTTCTGTCGTTTCTGGAGGATTACATTGAAATTGCAACCAACTTTCTATGGCTTGTTTTAGAAATAGTGATATTTGGGAGATGATTTCCTTTTCAAATAACTGAAAGTGAGATGTTGTAATCTGAATAAAGTGAAAAAGGCCATTCTTGAACATGGGGTGAGACAGTCTTACTAATTTGCTAGAGAACCAGTTCGGATTTAAATATAATTTTTGTATGACTGAAGCTGTTAGTGATAGGTCTAATGCTTTAATATTTAATAATTTCTGTCCTCCGAATTCATATTCATTAATAAATTGGCCCAAATAAAATTGAATATTTTTTTCATCAGCGCACACTCTTGGCATTCTCTCAACCAGCTTCATGAGGTAGTCACCTGGAATGCATTTCAATTAACAGGTGTGCCTTCTTAAAAGTTAATTTGTGGAATATCTTTCCTTCTAAATGTGTTTGAGCCAATCAGTTGTGTTGTGACAAGGTAATAGATAACCCTATTTGGTTACTGTAATATCAAAAGTAAGTCAAGCCCTTTAAAATATGATCAGAAGAGCTAATGTAAACCAGGGAAAACGCACTACCCTCCCCTGTGCCCCCCAAAACCAACACAACCCTCCCCAAATCACCAGTGACATTTCTATACTCCGCCAACTAAGCAAATGTCTCTAATTCATACATTTATCTTGTCTCCTTTGAATTCATAAATAGACTTATAAAGATCTTTGGTCTTTACCGAAGTGATTATCTAACTTTTCTGGCCAAGAACCCCTACCCCTATCAACCCCTAGCAAACCTTGAAACCTGTGTGCTTAAAATCTGCGTTTAAACTATGTTGATTATGTTATATAAAAATGTTATTCAACCACCGAGCCACATTGATGAAAAGTTGATAAATCAAATCAACGTTTATTGGTCGTGTACACAGTGTTAGACTAATACTTTGAACTCTGCTGCTGTGCATTGAACCTATTTTTAATGCTTGAATATGGATGAACTGTAAACATCCTGCCATAAATACTACTTTATTCCTTCTCATGAATATTTACACACAAGGACACTTCTGTATGACTTTATGAAATTGAATATACAGTTGACCTTTAAAGAGTTTTGATTTTCATACTGTTCCATTTGTGCATCTTCGGTTGTTTGTAGCCACTGAACTTTGTAGGTGTTAGCTTGTTAGTCCTTGTTCGGTATCTTTCCATTCCTTCAGGCAAATTGAAAGGAGAGGATCCTTAGCTAGTGCCAAGGGCTTGTTGAGGGCAATCAATGGTCAACCTCTCTGATGCTGCCTTCCCATGCAAGGAAGTGTCACAGAGGTCCTTGTTAAGTTTTTCCTTCAAGAACACAAATCAATAATGTCTGCGATCTGTATCGTGCTCTTGCCTTAATTCGTTAATCCTATTAGTTACTCCTGTTTGTGTGACAGGAAAGTAAGAGCTATTCCATCGTTGTTGTTATTTATTTTTAGAGCTGTTTGTCACAGATTTGTCACAATTTGAAACTGACCCCCTGAATCTTTTATGTTTATTCTTGATGTATAATTAAAACACAAATTGAATGAAGACATCCAATTATCAGTGAAGTTGTCAGTTAGCAGCCCACCTGTTTTGAGACAAGCTTTTCTCTAGATCGCTGAAGAGAAGCCAGTATTTTATTTTCTGTTGATAAAGAAGCATGACAAGGAGACAGGGACTTTGATGGTTTGAATTTAGGATATCTTGTTCTGAGCTGTGTTTGTCTGTGCCAGGAAGGACATGTGAAACTTTTTCAGATACGCTATCAGCTTGATCAGGTTTTCTGTTTCATGATAACAGCAGGAATAAAATGATCCATTTTTTATTTTCAATTCTTTCAAAAAGTTTACATAAGATCTGTAACTGTATCAAAGCATGAAGTGTGAGAATGCAAATTGACAGCGGTCATTACAGTACTTTAATTATTTTATACATTAAATATTTCAAAAATTGTGTAGGCCAGCATACTATATGATGTGCACAGTTGTATTACAGTTTAAATAGATATGTATTCAATACTGCATGAACAGTAATTAATTAGCAATCGCTTTGTCACCAACTGTACAATATCATACATGCACTTCATTTAACACACTGTCACTAAATCAAAATCTCAATTGGTCTCAAAAGTGCCTAATTTTCCCTAAGCTTTTTCCACCACGATTCCTCTCAGTTTTGGTGAAGCCCATTCTCTCTGGTGGCAACCATGGTTTTATGTGCTAATTAGCAAGGAGTCATTAGCCAGCATGTAATTGGATGGTTTGTAACTACCATCCATCTGGCTTGGCTCTTAGAGAGGACCTTTGCCGAGTGTCGTAGAACGAAAAAACCAGACCATCTGTTGCATTAATGCACTGAAATGACCTCATAGGCGGCCTGGGTGTCATCAGCCAGTCGCAGCTGGTTTAGACTCTCTCATGCACAACATAATGTGGCCGAGATAGGACAGCGGACAAGGAGAAAACAGACAATCAAACCCGGCTGGAGAGAAAATAATTGATCATGTTGAGGATAATGTTGTATTTCAAGTTGTGGAGACATACTCCCAATGCTATTATAAACCCATTAATTCATAGATTTTATGTTATACTAGTCATAACATGAGGTCGTTATCATTATTCATAGGGCATAAATAACACATGCGATAGTATGTATTAATATGACCCAAAGACAATTATTTTTTGCAGTGTGATTGTATCTCATTTTTATTTGATGCAATACAGTAGGCCTATGCTTGACTTGTTGATAGCTATTTAACCAATTATATGAAAACATGTAATTCTGTTTATGTCTTTCCTTTTGTTGTGTGTAATTCCTGCATCCCCAAGCCCCATCATGTTTTTTCCTTGTGCCTCAGGCTCCGGCTGCAAGATGCGAACGTTGGACAGTGGTATTGGAACGTTCCCCCTCCTCGATTCCTCCTCCTTCTTCTCCTCCATCCTCCACCTCCTTCCCAAGTCCCCATCGGCCCAACACTCCCTCAGCCCTCCCAGTGCTCCCAGTTCCTCTAGTGAGAAGGTGTCACCCTCCCCATTACCCCGGTGGAGAGGACCATCTGGCTCAAAATACCATCCCTGCAGCCAACCAGGCCTGGCCAACTCCTCGTTATCCGACACCACTGTGACCCTTGTCCAATCAGTGCCTTATCCCACTGTGGCCTTCCTGCAGCCTGTCCAATCTCTGTCTGAGCCCCTTGTGACCTGTGCCAGTGTGTGTGAAACCCAGAGCAGGCTGCCCAGACTATCCTCAGGTAAAGCCAAAAGAGCTCTTGTCCAGAGATACGTCTCTGGTCACCGGGAACTCAGTCGGTGTCTCAACTTACTGTTGAGACTTAAGGAGAAAACACATTGCACCGATTGATGGTCTGCCGTTTGTTCGCTATTCGTTCGCTTGTTGAACCTGCCGGTGGGAGACTGACAGCCGTAATTTCCCCGCGCTTTTTTACATTTAGAATCGGCTTGCACTCAGTTTGCAAATTACAACCGGCACTCTGTTCAGAGGTGCTAAGTACAAGATGCTCGGCAATCCTACCGGTGCGTCCGGAATGGTAGTTGCAGTTTTGAAATTTGGTAGTGCATCAGCAGTTTTCCTCCTGTTATGTCAGTCACTGACAGTCACACAATTAGCCCCATAGCAAAATGTGTAGAATTGCAGAAAATGTGCTTTAAAACTGCAAAATTTTTCTCTCCACTGCCAGAAATGGGACCTCTAAAATGTTTTGCCCGTTTTTATTTTATTTATTTCACCTTTATTTAATCAGGTAAGCCAGTTGAGAACAACTTCCCATTTACAACTGTGACCTGGCCAAGATAAAGCAAAGCAGTGCGGAAACAACAACAACAACACAGAGTTACATATGGAATAAACAAAACGTACAGTCAATAACACAATAGAAAATCTATATACAGTGTGTGCAAATGTAGTAAGTTATGGAGGTAAGGCAATAAATAGGCCATAGTGCAAAATAATTACAATTATATAATTTATTATTAACACTGGAGTGATAGATGTGCAGAAGATGATGTGCAAATAGAGATACTGTGGTGCAAATGAGCAAAATAAATAACAATGTAAATAACAATATGGGGATGAGGTAGTTGGGTGGGCTAATTACAGATGGGCTGTGTACAGGTGCAGTGATCGGTAAGCTGCTCTGACAACTGATGCTTAAAGATAGTGAGGGAGATAAGTGTCTTCAGCTTCAGAGATTTTTGCAGTTCGTTCCAGTTATTTGCAGCAGAGAACTGGAAGGAATGGCGACCAAAGGAGGTGTTGGCTTTGGGGATGACCAGTGAGATATACCTGCTGGAACGCATACTACGGGTGGGTGTTGCTATGGTGACCAATGAGCTAAGATAAGGCGGGGATTTGCCTAGAAGGGATTTATAGATGACCTGGAGCCAGTGGGTTTGGCGACGAGTATGTAGTGAGGGCCAGCCAACGAGAGCGTACATGTCACAATGGTGGGTAGTATATGGGGCTTTGGTGACAAAACGGATGGCACTGTGATAGACTACATCCAATTTGCTGAGGAGTGTTGGAAGCTATTTTGTAAATGACATCGCCGAAGTCAAGGATCGGAAGGATAGTCAGTTTTACGAGGGCATGTCTAGCAGCATGAGTGAAGGAGGCTTTGTTGCGAAATAGGAAGCCGATTCTAGATTTAACTTTGGATTGGAGATGCTTAATGTGAGTCTGGAAGGAGAGTTTACAGTCTAACCAGACACCTAGGTATTTGTAGTTGTCCACATATTCTAAGTCAGAGCCGCCGAGAGTAGTGATTCTAGTCGGGCAGGCGGGTGCAAGCAGCGTTCGATTGAAGAGCATGCATTTAGTTTTACTAGTGTTTAAGAGCAGTTGGAGGCCACGGAAGGAGTGTTGTATGGCATTGAAGCTCGTTTGGAGGTTTGTTAACACAGTGTCCAATGAAGGGCCAGATGTATACAAAATGGTGTCGTCTGCGTAGAGGTGGATCTGAGAGTCACCAGCAGCAAGAGTGACATCATTGATATACACAGAGAATAGAGTCGGCCCAATAATTGAACCCTGTGTCACCCCCATAGAGACTGCCAGAGGTCCAGACAACAGGCCCTCCAATTTGACACATTGAACTCTATCTGAGAAGTAGTTGGTGAACCAGGCGAGGCAGTCATTTGAGAAACCAAGGCTATTTAGTCTGCCAATAGGAATGCTGTGATTGACAGAGTCAAAAGCCTTGGCCAGGTCAATGAAGACGGCTGCACAGTACTGTCTTTTATTGATCGCAGTTACCCGTGAGGTAAATACAGTCCTGGAGGTGACAGTGATCAGACCCTGTTATTACTACAACTAAAGCCAGCATTAAGGCAGAGGATTACCTTTTAAGTGTGCAGAGAGGAGAGGCTTACCCATATTAGTATGTGAATGATATCCCCAGTTTAGACTCTGTCAAAGGGACACTGTTCTGTTTTAGTTGTAATACTTACCTTGAATTTGGCTCCCCCTATTTTTCATCTGGAGTAATTTCCTTTAGCTAGAAAATGACCTGTCATCTGACTTGATAGGAGGAAGTTGGTCATTGTTGCCTCATGTAGAGCTCAGAGTGCTCTGTTTCAGTTGTCTGCTCACAATCGTAATCCATCCTTTACGTTGTATGCCTTAGGAAGCTTTGTCAGTGAGTATTTTTATTCCTTTTGCATATATCTTTCGTTTCAGATCATTATTTGTGGAATTTGCATGTGTATGTTTACTTTGTGGAATAGATGGACAGCACTAGCTTAATTGCTACAGTATGTTAGCCTAGCTTATGCTAGTTGTCAGTGTGAGCAAAATATCAGGTTGCGTTCATATCTAGTTTGTATTTTAGGACAGATTACATTGTCTTATGCAGACATTGTTGTCTTTGTGTTTCAGTTTCACGCTGTTTCAACTGAAATCTTGTGAACATGGAGATCATGCTTTGAGGGTTATTGATGTGAAGGCGTTTATCTTGCTGTCAAAATATGCACAGTAACGCATACGGAGGACAGTACAGTGAAATGACAGCTCTCTAGTGGGCAGGACCACAAGTTGGATCAAGCAACAGACACTGCTAATCCGTCACAACGCCAAGAGAGGCCTACGACAATTACGGCAGTGTAAAGACAACCTCCAACACACTATGGCCGAGGAGCAGGCATCCACCTTCAATACCAGGTCTCGTGCCTCAGCCTCATTCCACCATTCAAGCAGCTCATCTACAGAAGCCGCAGCCGCCATAGCAAGGGCAAAAGAAGAAGCTGCAGAAGCTCGGTTCTCCTTTACGGAGAAAGAAAGGAGAATGAAAATAGAAAAAGCACAATTAGAAGCATCTATGGACGTGCTGAAAGAGGAAAAGGAAGTGGCTGAAGCTGAGGCTCTAGAGGCCGCTGCTGATTTAAGCAGTCAGAAAAGTATCTGCAGACTCAAGCTCGACTCCAACCCACTCGACCCCACACAGCGAACTAGGGAGTATCTCATGGAGCAAGCTAAATCCTACAACACTCCCAAGCCAACGACAGGAGTAGAGCCGTCCTCTGACGACGGGTCTACTCCAATTTCATGACCAACCGGAGAGCTACAGGCTTGGCGGCTCTCCTTTCACAATGCCATCAGAGGCTTAGACTTAACCTACAGTGAATAAATTGATCTTCTAGTTAAGTGGCTTGGAAGAGAGTCTACTGCACATATAAAATGAATCAGAGCCATTCACGTAAACCATCCAGAACAAGGTTTGAGGATGGTTAGACTCGAGGAATGCTACGGTTCACTAGAGGTGATAGAGTGCGCTCACCAAACATATCAACAGTTTCTCCAAGATCTCCAACAAGGATTACCCAAAGCTGAGGGAGTTGGGTGACCTGCTTATGGAGCTTCATTTGACATTTTTAGTCATTTAGCAGACGCTCTTATCCAGAGCGACTTACAGTTAGTGAGTGCATACATTATTTTTCATACTGGCCCCCCGTGGGAATCGAACCCACAACCCTAGCGTTGCAAATGCCATGCTCTACCAACTGAGCTACATCCCTGCCGGCCATTCCCTCCCCTACCCTGGACGACGCTGGGCCAATTGTGCGCCGCCCCATGGGTCTCCCGGTCGCGGCTGGCTACGACAGAGTCTGGAATCGAACAAGGATCTCTAGTGGCACAGCTAGCACTGCGATGCAGTGCCTTAGACCACTCGCCACCAAGGCCGAAGGAGACCTCCCTGGCCTAGCTTTTCTCGATATGGCTCAAGGTGTTAACCCTATAGTGCAGAAACTGCCCTTCGGGTTACAAGAGAAATGGCTCTCCATTGGTTCCAACTACAAGCAACAATATCATGTTCCGTTCCCTCCCTTTGCCTTCTTTGTTGACTTCGTCATCCAGCAAGCCAGAATCAGGAACGACCCCAGTTTCAACCTTGTTGCCGATGTTCCTGCTAAAGCAAACAACGTTCCCTGGAAGCAAGGCAGACAGAGAGAAGTCTTGGTTCACAAAACAGAGGTATCCCTCACTACCTCCTCCGACAAGCCTATTAAGAAAGCAGAGAACTCCGAACGGCAGTGCCCTATCCTCACCCCTTACAGAAGTGCAGCGCCTTCTACGAGAAACCACTTGACCAGCGCAAGGCTTTCCTGAAAGAGAATGGCATATGCTTTAGATGTTGTTCATCCTCCTTTCACATTGCCAAGAACTGCAAGTCAAGCGTTAGCTGCGCAGAATGTGAGAGCAAGAGTCATAACAGCGCCCTTCATCCAGGACCACCCCCTGGATCAAAAAGGCAGACCTTCCTACAGAGCATGGTGGGGGAGGAAGAGCTCACACCTCCCTCTGACATAACGTCCCAGTGTACGCAAGTCTGCGATGGGAACCTCACCGACAGGCCTTGCTCTAAGATCTGCCTCGTCAAAATCTACCCAACAGGCTAACGAGATAGAGCAGTGACATTCTATGCCATCCTCGACGAGCAAAGCAACAGATCATTAGTTCGTTCTGAGTTCTTCGATATCTTCAGGGTACAAGACCCCAGCTCTCCCTACTCCCTTAAGACCTGCGTCAGAGTGATGGAGACAGTAGGAAGAAGAGCCAACGGCTACCAGGTAGAATCTATGGATGGGCAAGTCAGTCTTCTGCTGCCAACTCTCATCGAGTGTAACGAGATCCCGAACAACCGATCTGAGATCCCAACTCCAGATGCAGCGCTCCACCATGCTCACCTGAAACCCCTCGCTCACCTCATCCCAGAACTTAAAGCGAAGAAGAAGAGACATTATCAGAGTCCATAAGGTGCGCAAACAAGTTAATGGGCCCCATGACTCACCATACGCCCAGAAGCTTGAGTTTGGGTGGGTCATAATAGGCAACGTCTGCCTGGGGAGCATTCACAAGCCTCTCTGTGAGTACCTTTTACACAAACACTTTGGAGAAAGGCGCCCTACTCTCTTCGAGCCATGTCCCAAACTCTTCTTGGTGAAAGAAAGATTCCGGAATGCCCGAGCTCCCGATCAACCTGCATTATGCTGCTGCAAAAGACTTCCTTGCGACAAAGAGGATGTTCACTTGGGCTGCAATGTGTTCCAGCAAACTAGAGACGACAATAAAGTGGCATTCTCCATTGAAGACAGCACTTTTCTGAAAATCATGAAGGAAGGGATCAGGAAGGACGACAGCAACAGCTGGGTGGCACCCTTACCATTCAAGTCACCAAGGCGTCGTCTCCCCGACAATAGACCTCTAGCGCTGAAATGCTTCTCCTCCCTCAAATGCAACTTCCTTAGGAAGCCCGAGATGAAAGACCACTTTGTCTCTTTCATGGAGAAGATTTTCGAGAATGGTCATGTCGAAGTGGCTCCGCCCCTGAAAGAAGAAGAAGAAGAACGGTGGTACCTACCTACATTTGGTGTCTATCACCCAAAGAAGCCTGGTCAAATCCGCGTGGTTTTGACTCCAGTGCCCAATACGATGGATTATCCCTCAATGACGTCCACATGACTGGGCCCGACCTCAACAACACACTCCTTGGGGTGCTTACTCGCTTCCGTAAGGAATCTGTCGCTATGACAGTGGCTATTCAACAAATGTTTCACTGTTTCCTAGTGAAACACGAAGACCATAACTTTCTGAGATTCCTTTGGTTCCAGGCCTTCTGAGAGTTGGGGGTCTCATAACAGAAGCAAAACCCGGACACGACAAGAAGAACCCCCTGATCATCCCGGGGAAGCATCACGTCGCAACTTTTCTGCTGAAGCATTACCACAAACGGAACCAACTCCAGGGATGCCTTTTCACAGAGGGAGCCAACCGTACAGCCGGTCTTTGGATAGTTGGCGGTAAAAGGTACGTGAACAGCATCATCCACCAGCCTGTCACCTGTCGGAGACTTCGTGGTCTTCCTCAGGCACAGAAGATGGCTAGCCTTCCTGCTGATCATCTCTCCACCGAACCTCCGTTGACCCACGTCGGCCTGGACGTATTTGGTCCATGGATCGTTGCCTCTCGCCGGACAAGAGGCCATGCCCATAGTAAGCGTGGGACGTCATATTCACCTGTATGAGCGTGAGAGCCATTCATATCAAAGTCCTTGAGTCACTGGATACCTCAAGCTTTATCAACACCCTGAGGCGTTTCTTCTCGATCCGAGGCCCAGCAAAGCAGATTTGTTCCGACCGTGGGACCATCATCAATGTCAGACCTCTGGTTCCAGTCTCTACAAATCCAGATGACCCTCTCATACTTACACTTGCTACTCTCCTCACAGAAAGTGAGTATCCCTTCGAGTCCTGCTGGCGACTATGGCGCCAAGGACCTCTTTAAGCGGCAGTGGCATCAGGTTCAACATCTTGCAAATACCTTCTGGGATAGGTGGAGGAAACAATACCTCTCTTCACCAGATAAAAAGGAAGTGGCAGTCAAACCAGCCCAACCTCGAGCCTGGAAGCATTGTGCTCCTCAAAGACAAACAAGTCAAGAGTAATGAATGGCCTGTTGGACTTATCACTGAGGTCTTTCCCAGCAAGGATGGTAAAGTCCGTAAAGTCGAGGTTAGACTCTGCAAGCAAGAAGGAATTAATCTCTTTCTAAGGCCCGTCACAGAGACGGTCCTTCTCCTTCCTCCAGAGGTCTAAGCAAACAAGGTCTCTTATATGGACATTCCATAGTTATTAGAGTGGCGTTCTATCACGGCAGGTGGGGAGTGTTCTGTTTGTTGTAAAACTTACCTTGAATTTGGCTTCCCTTATTGTTGTCTGGATTAATTTCCTTTAGCTAGAAAATGACCAGTCATGTGACTTGTTAGGAGGAAGTTGGTCATTGTTGCCTCATGTAGAGCTCAGAGTGCTCTGTTTCAATTGTCTGCTCACAATCTTCATCCATCCTTTACGTTGTATGCCTTAGGAAGCTTTGTCAGTGAGTATTTTCATTCCTTTTGCATGTATCTTTCGTTTCAGATCATTATTTGTGGAATTTGGATGTGTATGACAGCACTAGCTTAATTGCTACAGAATGTTAGCCTAGCTTTTGCTAGTTGTCAGTGTGAGGAAAAAATATCAGGTTACGTTCATATCTAGTTTGTATTTTAGGACAGATTACATTGTCTCACCTAGACAATTTTGTCTTAGTTTCAGTTTCATGCTGTTTCAACTCAATAAATCTTGTGAACATGGAGATAATAATAATAATAATAATAAGCCATTTAGCAGACGCTTTTATCCAAAGCGACTTACAGTCATGCGTGCATACATTTTTCGTGTATGGGTGGTCCCAGGGATCGAACCCACTACCTTGGCGTTACAAGCGCCGTGCTCTACCAGCTGAGCTACAGAGGACCACCCAAAGAAGCCTGACTCCAGGGCTTTGAGGGTTATTGTTGAGGAGGCGTTTATATTGCTGTCAAAATATGCACAGTGCAGACACTCAATTATCCTTTCATGAG